TCTTGTGGTATTTGATGTTCTGAAACCAATTATCAGACTTCACATTTATTCCTATTATATTTCATCTGAGATTTGGCTTATCATGCCAGCCCACTGAGATATTTTTGATCCTAACTCTGTCACATTGACATGTTAGCCATCTAACCATCATCATCACTTACTATGATCACATAAGTAATAAATAGCAGAGCCTGAATTCAAATCCATGTCTTCTCATTCTTAAGTCCATTGGTTTTTTCCCTTCCTCTCCATAAGCATTACAAAGGACTTCAAGTGGAAAAGACCTCAAGCCTTAGGGTTGTAGTTTCAAGACTGTGTGACCTTGATTAAGGCATTTGACTTCATTGGGCCTCAGTTTCCTTATCTCTTCAATGAGGGTGTTGTATTATATGACCTCTAAGGTTGCTTAGAATTCTCAGTCTATGTTCTTATGATTCTATGACTGTGTTCTACTAGTAACAATCCTCTAGTATATTCCTATATATTTTCCCTTTTTAACTGTGATCATTTTAACAATAAAAATATACTAAACATAAAGTTACCAATATCAGCTTGTCAGTAATTCACTCTTTATCTCCTTCTGATTTCTATAATTGTGCATTCTCATATGTATAAGTGCTTATTTTTAAAAGATATTTTTAAATTTATAGTGGGTAACTGCTGCCCAGGAGAAGGACTGGCTGTAGAGAATGAGCTGAACACCTACTGCTGTCAGCTTTTTTGAGTTCTACAGTGAGATACAATGATGTAGAAATTCCATGAGTGGGAATGGGCTGCTATTCTTTATACTCTTCTGCCATCTAGTGGCATTTTCATTTCATATTGCTGTGATGTGCAAGAACTTGAAGTGTGGGGCAGGGAACTCGGCATTTTGGTCAGCAAAACTTTGTTTCCTTCTAGTCGAGGGAGGGCAGCAGAGATGCAAGAGCCTTTGAGTGAAAAAAAAGTTGCCTTTTCCACACGTGGGCAGTGTAGAGTAAAGACCAAGAAAGGGGTCTTTTTTCAAAATAAGAATTCAGCTTCATATTTCATTAGACGTAGAAGTATAGGATATCTAGGCCACAGAGCAGATTTCTTAACCTTTTTTTGTGTGTCATGTATCCCTTATCAGATTTGTTTTTTAAATGCAAAAATAAAGTATATAGAATAGCCAAATAAAAAAAAGCAATCAAATTCCTGGACCCAGGGTCCACAGAGTCTGTAAAGAGCTGGGTAGTACCTCAGAAAACATCAGGTCCAGCCTCCGGTAGTGTAGCTCTTTCCTTTATTTCTGTGATGAGATCCAAGATCACCTTTTGTGTTCTGGATTCAACTGCCCTTGACGATAACCTTTTACTAACACTACCCATAATAGTAACAACCAAAGTGCCGACTCTGTGCTAGACACTAATATGATATTAGAGTGAAATAACCCATGCCCTCAAGGAGCTTATATTCTTATGTAATCCATACCATATCAGATAATACCCCCAACACATACAGTTGGCAAAGCACTTTACATGTTATCGCATTTGAGTTTCACAACAGTCCTATGAAGAAGTTGGTACTGCAAGTCTTATTATCCCTATTTTTTTAGATGATGAGGAAATTGAGGCTCAGAGAGTAAGTGATTAGAGCAGTTAGTATATAATTAGTAAGTAGCAGTGGTGGGATTTGAACCCAGCCCTTCCAGATTATAAGCCCAGCATTCTTGCCTACAGTATTCCCTGTATTTTGTAAAATGACATTTAGGTGTATTAGTATTCCTTTCCCCACATGGCTTCTACCTATTTAAGAGGTGAAGTTAATTCCTTATCTTTATTACTAAATATTTTTGATATAATTTAGAATAATTACTAGGAAAACATTTTCTCCTCTTTCCTACTGAAAACCCTATCCTCTGATTATAGTTTAACATAAAGTTTTTATATTAGAGATTTGTAAAAGAATTTGTCATACATATATTTGTGTGTGTGTGTGTGTGTGTGTGTGTGTGTGTGTTTGGACTTGAATGTCACTACCTGTGTGATCTTGGCTTCTCTGGGTATGTTTCTTCATTTTTTAAATGAAAGGGTTGAATTAGACGGCCTGAGGTTCCTTTTAACTCTGTGCTTCTGTGATTGTTATTTTGACTTCCTGTGTCCATTTCCCTACCTGTAAAATAGAGTTGGTGACATTATGTGACATTTCATTGTCTATGGGGTCAAGTGCAAAGTGTTTTGGGTGAAAAGAATTACATACTGAAAAGCCCATTGATGTTAGAGGCAGTTTGACCTAATGTAAAGACCACTTGCCATTGTTGACAGTAATTGGCTGTGTGACCTTGGTTCACTTAATTTCTCTGGATCTCTGTTTCTTCATCTCTAAAATGAGGGGGACTAGACAGGTGATCTCCAAGTTAGCTTTAGCTATAAAAATCTTGTTCTAATGTAAGTGTTATCATTGTGTTTGAGGTTTGGTTTCTGTACTGTGTTTATCATTGTTTGAAGGATACATGCTTTTTAATACAGTCATTTAATCTCATTCATACTTTTTACTTTTATTCTCATGCTCCAGTGACTCCCTCATTGAGATTGGACAAAAGTAAGGGAGCAGTTTTGCAGCATAGGGATTTTTATCTAACATGTAATGCATAGGTGATTCTTTGTGACCAATACCTGTTTCATATTAATTTTGAGGATTCTTTTCATCAAAGACTAATGAAAAACTATAGTCTTTCATTTTAGTCTTATAAATTACATGGCAAATGTTAGGCTTGTTACTTTTTTATAAATGGCAAAACTGAGGTCATAGAATGATATGATTTAGGACTGGAAGGGAACTTAGACCATGCTATCCAACTCCTTCATTTTACATTTGAGTAAGTTAAGGCTCAGAGAGGTTAAATTACTTTTTCATATTGACCAGCTCTGCTTTTATTTTTGCAATTTATTTTTATTGATTGGATCCAGGATGAAAACCTCCTCATTCTGACAGATTTCAAAGGAGATCCAGCTTTGTGAGAATTTGTTTGGTAATACTGCCCATTCAGAGCTCACTATTCACAAGAATAAAAGTTCCAAATGGAAATGATTTTGTAAAGCCTTGTATTATGTGTGTGCAGAAATTAATTCCTTATACATTGTCATAGATTGCTCTAAGCTTATTAAAAAACTGATCTAATCACTGATTTTTTTTCCTCTACAGGTAACTCTGCTATTTTGTATTTTTCAGCATTAGGGGAGGGAGATTGTATAAGTCAGGTTCCCAACTTGTCATTCTTCTCTTGTGCTATTAAGCTGAGTTCATTTTTATTGGTTTAACTTTTCAAGGGTTGTCACCACCTCTACTTTCATGGCATCACCTTGGAAAATGGTTTTCACCTAAAAAAGGAAATGGCAGGAGCTTTATTCAGTTCTCAGAAAATTGTCATCCAGGAGATTCTTTGTCCCTGAGTCAGTTTTGCCTTGGTGGGCCACATTGAAGCATGCTATTCATATTCACCAAGGGACATTTCTTACCACCTCCTATCACTGAATGTAGGATATTTTATAGAACTTCATTTTGATGAATGAGAAACTCACCATGTGTTCTAAACTGTATTTTTATTCTAAATTTGTTGAGCATTTTTCTTTTGACTGAAATACCCTCGTCAGTCTAATGCTCTTAATTAGCACTTCCTGGGGAACAGGGAAATGGCCAACGTTGGTGAATTTGCATTCAATAAACATTTATTAGGCTTGGGTTTAGTTTGCATTGGACAGGACATAACTTTGAAAAGTTGAATGGAGCTAGTTGTTGAGATCATTGTGTGTTTAAGTTAGGACGTTGATAACACCATCTGGTGCAAATGTTGTGTGAGTAATATATTCATGCTACTCCCTTTCTCCTGATTCTCACCCCTCTTGTCACAGGAGTGTTCCACACTCATGTATTTTAATAAAAAACATCATTGGTGACTTGATTCAGAAGAAACAGTCAAAAAAGTGATAAAATCTTATCTCTAAGCTCTGACCCTGTAGATCCACTAACCCCATATATAAGATCAGATGGTCTTCTTTTCCCTTCTGTGACTCTTTTAGCTTTTTACTCAGGACAGCAGAGCCCTGAACTGCAACAACCTATTAGCCTGGTACCATCACTCCACTAACAGTTAACCTTTTCACTTCAGGCATATTCTTCTCTTTCCTTTTTATCTCTCTCTAACAAAAGGGAGCTTATTTATGTGTATATATATATTATATGTTGTGTATATGTATGTGTGTGTGTGTGCGTATGTCCTTTTTGTATATTGATTCCTTTTTGAACCCCCTTTGGGTTGGATGCTTCACCTTATTCTGCCTTATTCTGTTCCCTAACCCCAAATCTAGAATGGAAGGAATGCTATGTTTTAGAATCTGAAATTGTCGTGGTGGAAGAGACTTCAGGAATTACCTAACACTTTTAATTAATACTAGAGGAAACTGAGGCCTAGAGTTTAACTGGTGGCATAGTGATAGAGTACTGGACATGGAGTTAGGAAGAACCTGAGTTCAAATCTTGCCCCTGACACAGAGTTGTGTGACCCTGATCAAATCACCTAATCTCTCTTAGCTTCAGTTTCATCAGTAAAATGAGAATAATCACAGCACCTAACTCAAGAGGGTTGTTGTGAGGATCAGATTATATAATATATTTAAAGTAAATTTCTTTGGGCAAGGTTGCATAGCTAGTTATTGGTAAAGCCAGCATTGAAGCCTGATTGGTAATCTGTGGCTTCCCCTGTTGTAAGTAGGGTTTTCTTGCATTTAGGATTCATGTCTTTGGAGGTTCTTTTTGGTACCTTCCTTTCCTGCAAACTTGCTTCCATGTGCTAGTGGAAACACTTTGCACACTAGTGCTGAATTACATCTACTGCTCATAAATCAGATGATAGGGCTTGTCTTCTGTCTTTTAGGGATTTTGAGTTTAGGGTAGGAATTTGGTAGATCATCTGTAGTCCCTAATAGATTTTTAAAAGGTATTGGATGTCTATTTACCTGCATTCTTTTACTGTTTTTCAGATTTTCACTTCATGGGTTCTCGGATAGAAATGACATCACTTGAGGACAAGCAGATTTTCATACTTCACACTTACAACTTACTGCAGACATCATTTTATTTTGAAGTTCGTGGTGGGAAATACAGGGAAGATTCTGTACCATTCTTCCTCTGAAGTACTTTGTAATGAGCATTTAACACCATGACCTCTGCCATCCCCTCACTGTAATAACCTGTTTGCCTTCCAAATAAAGTGCTTCTTGTTAGTCCTCCCTTGGCTTTGTGTTTTGATTTTATTTTAATCTGGTACTGGAATCCTTTGCTTTATATGTTCCCCATAGCAAAGCCTTTAAAAGGCTGACAATATGCAGTGAATAATGAGCCTAACATAACCTTCTGGTTTTCATTAAATGCAATTGAAATTGGTAAAAGGCTGTACTTGCGTCCTTGGAAAACTGAAATCTTTTGTCATCTTTTAGAAGACAATCCCTTAATAATTTCTTAGAATTTGTACAGGCAGTCCTTGATTTTATGACAAAATGCATCCCAGGAAACCTGATCATAAAAAGGTTTGTCATAAATTGAACTGGCTGAATGGTAGTGTTCATCACACAAGGGAGTGGGTATAAGTGGTGGGAAGTAAAATGCAGGTCTAAGTAGGCAGTGTTGAAAGAGAGTAGTGAAATGTAAACTGGAGAAAAGTAGGATTGTTTGTGTGGTGCTTTACACTTTCCAAAAATACTTCCATATGTTATCTGACTCTCATGATTCTGAGGTAAAGGGAGTGCTATCACATTTTGATAAATGAGGAAGTTGGAGGCATAGGGTTAAAATGACTTATTGCTGGGAAGAGGCAGGACCAGAATGCACGACTCCTGATTTCTTCTTTAGGGATATTTCCCGTACACCATGCTGGACAAACCATGTTTAGCTGCAGAAAAAACAAGATTATACTGAAGGCTCTACTTTTAAAACTTGAATGTTTTAGCTAGGGAGCCTGTGTTGAGAATAAGATTGAGAGGCTCATGGGGTGGTTAAAGAGCTTTCATGTGTCTTTGGCTTGTTTATAAAGGCTAAATAGGATAAAAAGTGGATGCATTAGATAGAAATGGCATTTAGTACTACAGTATATTCTTACTGAAACCTGAGATTAATGGGTTGAAAATTTAGGAATGACATATTTCCATTATTCCTAAATATGGGTATCCCTTAAGATTGTTCTGGGCTCTTTTCTCTCTTCACTCATCCTTGGGTTTAAGCATCTGTGCAGATGACTCCCAATCTATTCAGCTCTGATCTCTGAGACTTTGGTACCAACAAAATCATCAACTGCCTTCTGAACATAGTATCATAGGTTTTAAGGCTAAATGGGACATTTGAGGTCATCTAATACATCTGTTTTACAGATGAGGAAACAGGCCCAGGGAGGCAAACTCAGTGTCACACAGGTAAAAAGTTAATGGCAGAGTTAGAATGAAATCTCAGTTTATCTGGTTCCAAATCCAGTGATCTTGTCTGTACACCAAACTGCCACATCTTTACCTGAGTATCCCCCAGCATACCAAAATCCACGTGCTCAAAATGGAGCTTGTCTCTTCTCCTTAAATTCACCCCTCCTCTAAACTTCCTGTTTCCATTGGGCACCACCATCCCAGTACCCCAAGTTAATTATTGTTAGTGTGGAGTCATCCTACTCTGCAACTTGTTTTGAATCTGTCTCCTGTCCCCTCCAAGCCCTAATCTAGTTCAAACCTTTATTACTTCTGAATGGGCTATTGCAATAGCCTTCTAATGCAGTCTTCCTTTCTGTACACAGTAGCCAAGGCCCAGAGACCCAGATGGGCCTGACCATATTACTTGTTGCTCAAAAATCATTAATGGATCCTTATTTCCTCTGGGATAAAATGTGAACTCTTTAGCTTGCATTTAAAGCCCTCACAATCTGTCTTCAGCTCACTTTTCCAGACATTTCATATTATTCCCTTTTGTTACATTCTATATTCTGACTAAACTGATTGACTCGATGTTTCTCAAACACAATGTTTCAAGTCTCTCTCTCTCTTTTTTTTTTGTACAGGCTGTCCTTCATGCCTAAAATGCACTCTCCACCTCAGCCTCCTATAACCTCTCTCCAGCTTCCTTCGAGGCTCAGCTCAGGTGTCACCTCTTACACAAAGCCTTTCCAGATCTCCACATCTGTTGGTGCTTTCTCCCACCTCAAATTACCTTATATACATTGGTTACATCAATGTTATTACCATAGCATGTAAGCTTCTTGAAGGCAGGTACTGTTCAGTTTCTTTGTGTCACTTGTGCCTAGTTTATTAAGCACGTACACAAAGTAAATACTTATTGTTGAATTGGCCTTTCACGTTTTTGCAGCAGTCACTTGCTTTGGAACTGAACTGGGGAAAAACACCTTGTGGGGGACATAAGGAGGAATGTCTTCTGAGACTCTTGTGCCAGAGGAGGAGACTGAAATGTAGATATAGATGACTACTTTGCATATTTACTTGGGTCTTTCTAATTAGATTTCTGGAAGTAACAGCAGGTGGGTGATGGGTGGTGTCTGATTTAAAAGGTTAACAGTACTCTCACTTAAAATGAAGCAGGTCCTATCCACTCCAGTGGGTGGGAATTTCACCACAGTTCTCTGGTTTGGGCTTAATGTACATCAACATAATACTGAAGTTTGCTTCTCTTCCTGGAATATAATTTCTTGAATCAGATGAATCAGATACCTTGTATTGATCTTCAAATTCAGCTGCACTGGCAACCTGGTATAGTGGAAAGAACATGTTATTTTGAGTCAGGACTGCCAAGCACATAGTAGGTGCTTAAATGTTTTAGAATTGGATTAGGTTCAAATCCTGTCTCTTCTACTTAGAACTTCTGTGGCATTGGGGAGATCACTTCATCTTTCTTGGGCTTTAGTTTGCTTATCTATAAGTGAGAGGCTGAACTAGGTGCTAAGATCTCTTTTCCAGATTCTATGATCTTTGTTTTGCATTTCTATGGTGCTTTGTACATGAGTACTCAAATATTGTATTGAATGTCAAAAGCATTGATTTTTAAAATTCTGTATTGGCTGTGAGCTATGACCTTGCATTTGCAGTTTTCTTTGTTTTCTTCTTCTCCAGCCCAATACCTCTATAGGGTGGGTTTATTTTTGTTTAGCGTGCTCTGTGTAGGGCCGGAAGTATTTACCACAACCCCTGTACACAACCTATTCCCTGCTATTCTCTGAAATGGCAGGAAGCCCAGCACAGAACAACTCCAGCCTACGCATTTCCTGTCCCCTATCACATGGAAACCATCTCTCTTGTTTTCTTCTTTTAACAGCTGACACCCATGGTCTCCTTGCTGATCAACCTCTTTTATTTCAGTCTTCAAAACATGTTTTTAAATTGAGTGAAAAAGTAGGGAGGTCACGAAAGCCTGTTTTCTTGCCTTTGGAACCTTAGCAAACTTCCTCAGGCAGGTTATATCTTAGGCTAGTAACCTTCTTTCTAAAACCTAAAGTAATTTTACCCCTAGTAACCTTGTGGCTTTCCAGTCTGGATTTAATATTGGTTTAAACTGTCGGGATAAATGGCTTTTGGATTTTGTCCTGGGCCACTGCAGTCTCCTAAATGCTCAGTCCCCTTTAAAAAAAAAATTCTCTCCCCATTGAGGGTAAAATGATGCTTTGGAAGCTACCTGACAGTTGGGTGGTACTGTGATGAGAGGGAAGAAGAAATCAGTTCCCAAATTGAAGAAATGACTAGTTAGTTTTATCTGAACTGAAGTATAAGTGGGTCAGAACTTGTGCTTATGGAACATAGAGATGAAAAGGAATGGAGGTATTTCTAAAATACCAGTCATCTGATCTAATTGTGAAAAAAGGTTACTATAATAATAATAGCTACCATTTCTATAGTGCATTACCTATATTATCTCATTTTATTCTCACAACAACCCAGCAAAGTAAGTGCTATTATTGTCCTCATTTTAAAGATGAAGAGACTTAGGCAAAGAAATGAAGTGCTTCACCTAGGGTCACACAATAAGTGAAGCTAAATTCAAACTCAGGTCTTCTGACTCCAAGGCCGGCGCTCTATTCACTGTGGCACCTAGCTGAGAGAAATGATGCTGTACACCCAACTGCACATCTAGTGCCACTGATTTTTAATAAAAGGATTAGTGAAGCTATTGGTAGGTCTTGTGCTTTGTTCTAGGAGAATGAGACTGACATCTCTCACTGAATTTTTACTGAGTTAAATAGACCAACCTTTGAACAACTTTTTTAATCTTAAGATACTAAAGATTCAGCAGTCTTTTGTTCATTTCCTCTTCAGCCTTCATTGTACCTAGTTTTTAATGGTAATGAGAAGGGGAGCAGTTGGTGGTCCTGTTCTTTAATCCTTAGAACTACACCTGTGAAGTGGAATATTTATTTGTAACAAATACCAGTCCTTTACCACCATCAGGAAACCTTTATAATATGCCTATTAAATATGTCACTGTGCTACTACTTATCCTGTGATCAGGGACAGAGTTCACATGTGGAAATAGAGGCAGAGAGAAAGAAAGGAAATGTGCATTAGACTAGGATTTGGGGGACATAGTCTTAAGAGTACAGTATTAGATACTAACTAGCTGGTTTGACCCTACGCTTCCTCCATCCCCATCCCAAAGTAGGACTAGACTACCTTGCTGGGACTACTGTACTCAGAAAAGCATAGGCCAGAAGTATAGTCATGACTGATTTTAACTCACTGTGTACCCTTGGGCAAGTCACAAGGAGATCTTGGCTTCCATGGGTTCAGTAATCATTTTTACACAGATAATTCCAAAATTTATATTTAACCACAATCTCTCCTGAACTCATCATCAATTTGTGTGGCTATCACTCTTAGTTATCCTGTAGACCTCTCAGATTGAACATGTCCAAAACACCTCATTTTCTCCTTTTGTACCCCACCCCTCCAACCTGCCTGTCCTCTAAACTTCCCTATTTCTGTTGACAGCACCACTGTTCTTCCAGTTACAAAGGTTTATAATATTGGAGGCATCCTTTGCTCTTCGCTTTCTCTCTTCCTTCATAATCTACTCACCAAGGCTTGTTGATTTTACCTCCACATTTCTTATACCTTTCCTTTTTTCCACTCATAGTCAACAACCTCTTGCCCCTGGACTTCAATAATAGCCTTCTTCTTACTTGATTTCCTTGTTTCCAGTCTCTCCTCTCTCTATTCTGTCTTCCACATAGCTGCCAAAATAATTTTTCTAAG